GTTTATTACAAGGGAGTCAGCCGCAGCGCCCTGGTGATGGAGGTCAGACAGTAAAGGTTCCACCTGAGAGGGAAGCAGAAGCCAAAGAAACGTTCAAAATAAACCAATTTAATCTTGTGGCCAGTGATATCATGGCTTTAAATAGAACTCTACCTGATTATCGTATGGATGCGTAGGTTTCAACCGTTTATTTATTGTATACCTTGTATTTGACATAGATTTAGCAGCTTGTTTATATTCATTTTAGTGTTTCTTCTTCTTAAAGTCCATGCTGTGTGGCATTGGTAGTCATGTATGTCAACAACCTAGTTTTTGTGTACATTTAAACAATTCTGACACAGATAATCTTCTATGCCATGATGTCAGATTGTCCAGCATCTTTTCTCTCGGTACCCTCTGCATCTCCACCCCTCCAGCTTTCCTTTTGTCACGATGTACTCCAGTTTTCTCCTTCTCATCACATGACCAAAGAATGTAGATTTTCTGTTTCTGATGTGGGCAAAATCAGTTCTCTTCGCAAGTCAATATCTTTCATGATGTCTTTACTACTTACTCTTTTTCATCTGTCCATGGTATTCTCATCATTTGTCTATAAAACCACATCTCCACAGCTTCCAAATAAGTTTTCACTCATGTACCAACTGCCCATGATTCACTTTGATATATCAATATAGGATTTATAAAGCTATTAAAAATTCTCTTTCTCGTCTCCGTTATCAAAGAAACACTGCACAGCATATTCTTTGTTTTATAAAATGCTGCCTTTGCTTGAGCTATTCTACATATAACTTTATAGGCATTTAAAGATTAGAAAACATACATTGAAGTTATCAAGGTGGTTTAAAAAATAACATCAGTTAATGTGAGTAATGAGCTTTTCTTACAGAGACAGAAAGGAAAGGAAACCTCACACATTGAGAGCACTGTCACATTTTTAGCCATCTTACCAAAAGAGAAATATTTTAATATATTGTAACAATTGATAAATAATGAAATAAAGAGATGAAGGACAGCAAAGCGAAAAACAATATTAGACATCCTCACAGTTTGATAGAAGTCATGATCATCATCCTCAAGAGATATTCTTTTGAGAACAATTATCCCCAAATTAGCCTGGCTGAAAGTATCCTTTTGGGGAGTGGGTTGTCCACTATCTTTAAGAAACCTATTCTGTTCTGTATAATATTCTGGGTCCTGTGCGGGTTTCAGGGCCCTATTGTTGGGAAACAAGAATAGACTGCTTCCCCAATGAACATGTTTAAGGAGAATACTGATTGGAGGCATCCTTTGAAATACATGTGCCTAGGAGGCAAGGAACCAAGAGATTGCATACAAAACAGCCAAATCTGTGAAACAGATGTTCACACAACACTCAGATTCTGAAACAAGACCAAAGTCCATAGGTGTATGAAAACCTAGAGCTTTCCACTGGAGTTTACTACTGGTGAACGTGAAAAAGAACAAGAATAAAATATTTTGGGTCCAGTAAAATTCAAATGACTTGTTGACCCATTGTTCATTATTTACTTGTCCAAGCCATTTTGTTTGTATATATAATCTAGATATTTACTTATTAACAAAAATGGTCTTAAATGAATTGTAAAAGGTTTAAATATACTTACAATATAATTTCAGGTGCAAAAAGAAGAAATATCCACCCTTAAAGTCATTGCCAAAGAGCAGCATAGTTATTGTGTTCCATAATGAAGCATGGAGTACTTTACTTCGGACAGTTCACAGTATCATTGACAGATCGCCTCATGAGCTACTAGAGGAAATTATATTAGTGGATGATGCTAGTGAAAAGGGTTAGTTTTATTAATTGTTTGTAACAGTTTCACATTCAGCACCTTGATTATGTTTCCCGAGACTTCAAACTTCTTTACTTGCAATGCCATCCGTGTATGACAGATCTAGGGTGTTTACTGGAGTAAATGTTCTACTTGCGAAAATTTACCATAAAGTCACAATAGACAAGGAACACCTTCTACATGATGCCTTTGTTGACAGCAGTAGACATGCTTTGATAGAAGATAGCTCCTGGATAGCACAGGCAGAAGTCAGGATTAGAACTGTTTGTGCTACTGACAAGATGAGTACATGGTGAGGAATGGGTTATAGTGCTGCTCATCAAAACAGACTTGAAAAAAGTAATAGTTACCTTGGACCGAGGGTGCCAGGATGGATGACTGGTGAAACAGAGACATCAGAGTAAGAGCTGATCAATGAAAATTCACACCCGGAAGACAACATTATATAGTGAGTTGGGAAAGCGGCTCTTATGAATAAATCGTACCAGACAGAGTTGTCAGTTTTATGGCTTCTCAGGGTAAAGGGTTGAGTGAGGTTTTTAATACTTTGTATTACCCAAACTTGCTGCAGTAATGTATCTTCTTTTCTAAAGACATATTTTTGTTACCTAACATCAAATGTTTTTTTAAAGATACTTCGTTTGTTTAAAAAGTTTTACTTTTGGAATACCAAAGAGGTTAATAACCATGACCAGGCTATGTATGGAAGACATTTATAGTAATATATAAAGGCAGAATCAGACCCTATTCAAATAACATCTGGTTTAAATCAAGGTGATGCTGTTTCCCCATTCCCGCTTCTTTTCAACTTGGCCCTGGAGAAAATTACAAAACAATTTCAAGAAGAGTGTACTATAGGAAAAACTACAAGAATACTTGTTTATGCAGATGACGTTGATATCATTGGAGAAAATAAACTATAGAGACTATAAACACTGACTCTCTTAAAAGAAGCAGCTCACAAAATGGGACTAGTTAGCAATCAGAATGAGACAGAATACATGATAATACCAAGACAGGGAAAGGATATAAACTCTGACCTCACAAGCCAATAATATGAAAATCAAGCGAACAGAAATGTATAAGTACTTGGGTGCAAATTTCAACTGCCTCAACCCGCTGAGAGAAGAAATACAATCTAGAATACAGTCTGGAAATAAATTATACTATACCCTTCAACGTTTGCTAAAGTCAAAGTCGCTATCTCGCAACACCAAGGTCAAAATATATGTAAAACACTGATAAGACCAGTTGTTTTATATAATTTTGAAACTTGGAGCACAGCTAAATGAGATGAAAAACACACAAATTTTCAAAAACAGTCTTATGACAAATCTTTGGACCCATCAAAGATGCACACAAGAGGAACAGAGAGCAGTCGGAAGCAGCAACGAAATTCATAATCACTGTCATCATAAGAGCTAATAGACTGAAATGGCTGGTGCATATTGAGAGAAAATTAGAAGACAGAGAGGTAAAAACTGTTTACACAAGGGAGTTGAATGGTCATAGACCACGAGGCAGACCAAGAAGACGAGGAAGAAATAATATACAGACAGACCTGCAAACACTTGATATCACCAACTGGAAAGAAAAGGCCAACCAGAGAGATAAATGGAGGCTGTTGATATCTGTAGCTCAAAGGCTCAGAATGCTGAGGAAAAAGAAGATGAAGTTAAAAGTTGAGAAGATCAACTTGGGTGCATTGAATGATTCAACAGAGCAGCAAGCCACCTGCCAAGAGCACAACATGAACCGTTTAGCTCCAGCAGTGGTTTCTAGAGATCTCAGTAAAAACTATTCCTGAACTGGACAGTACATTATGAAAGGAACCCATAACGTTCAGAGCATGAGGCAAGCGGCTTGACCACTTCACCTTTGAGGCCTTCTGTTTATTCAGAAAGATGGTGAAATGTTTATGTATTGCCTACTGAGCTACACATTTTCAGTTAATTTGCTACATTTTCTTTCATTTGCTAAAGATAGTAAACTAAAGGACTCTTTCCTTGCCTTCAGATGTATTTGGCATATAAGGCTGAACTTATATTTTATAGACCAATTGCAACTTTGTGGGCGATGTTGTCACCATCATGCTGGCAACCTTTACTTCCCACGAATTTACCTGGTGCCCATTTAAGGCCGGGTCAAGCTAGAAGCCAAATTCTGGCTCTGTTCCAATTCAAACTTACTACCTTCGGATCTGCAAGCAAGTTTCTGGCCGCTACACCATGGCTACTTTGAAATGCATGAGTTATGGGTTGAGGTATCTTCTTCACAGCACATGTGTACTTCTGACCGTGAGCAAGACTGACCATCTGATCCAGCCATCTACATCAACTGCATTAAAATGGATCCCCAGTCATCATAAAGAAGATATGGTCACGTACTGACATGATTATTAAAATTAATGTTTTATGTTAGTCTATACGTCCAGATAGCAGTGGCAAACTACTGGACGTTAATTTTCCTAGAAAAACCACAACAGCCAAAAAATGCTGGAGTTGGTTCTGTAATGTCCTGTAAAAGATACGCAACTACTTTTACTTGTATACTATACAAACAGACATAAATGTGTCTGTTTATCAAAATGTTTAATACTAGTCCTATTTTCAGTTCTAATTTTCATACGAATTTCAAGTGTAGTTGGTATCACGTCTGATTAGCCTGCACTAAACCCCTACATGACTTTAAAATTTTTTTTACGAAAAACTTTAAGTTTCAGCTCTTAGCAGTTTTGGCAACACATCACTCAAGTATTAAATGTAATGGTTGCTGTCGGAGTATGTAACAGCAAAAGGGTTAAATATGAGAAAGTATTGTCTCGTCAGTTGTCATATTGCACTGTTTCTACAAGCATTTTTTTTTTTACATTTTAAGCTTGGTTTCCATAGCTTTTGATTTTAACCCTATTTCACCTACAACAACAGGGCATTATAGTTTTGATCCTTAGTGCAGTGCTTGCCAATTGGTCCGCTCGCTCATTTCCATTTACACCCGCATGACTTGTGTGTAGATCCAAGTTACGGAGATTAAGTTCGATTTTCGAATGCTTTCCACCCATTCAGAGCGCATACCACCTGTTGCTATCTTCTGAAGCATATTCATGGAGTCTGATACAATAACTGCCTGTGTGGCGGTTTGCTCTGATACCTATGCTAAAGCTCTAGAAGCAGTGGCTATTTCCATGGTCATGCTTGACGTGGTTGTCTGGTAAGCGCTGCTGTCCTCCTGTATTGTTTTCCCCCTTCTTGCGCTGTGTATGCCCATGCTGACCTTGATCTGCGCTTCACTGATCCATCTGTGTAGATGATGATATGTCCTGAGTCTGAATGCTGATCTATCAGTTGCCTTACTTCTGTGTCTACAGCCGCAGGAATTTGATCCCGGCAGTACCTTCAGAGTGTGATGACAACCTTAGAGATGCCGTGCATGTCTACTGGTGTATTTGTCCATTCTTTTCCATGACTGATCACGTCAAGGTCACATACCTGCTGGATTAAATCCATGAAGAATGAAAAAAGAGCATTAAATGTATGCTGTGATTGCATGCATTGATCAGGTAATGAGCTGTAAAAAAAAAACAAATCATGGTCATCTCCAGTCTTTAACAGACAATGAGTGAATGAATCCAGAACTGACCTCACTACACTTAAGATATTCCCACATGTGTTCTAGTTGCAGCCTGGTTCACATGCAACATTCAAGTAAATAGGAAGCATCTCCAACAGTTGATCGTCTTAGCACAAACATAAAATCACATATAAGATGCCCTGTAGAGACAGAAGATTTGCTCTTGTAAAAATAGCTGTTTGAAAAATGAAAAATATACCATCTAAAGATGTCTTTTGGGAAACTTAGTGTCACTGTTTTACACAATGTGTATTGCTGTATGAGAGACCCGGATACCCAGCTGAGAAGCATCTGAGTGCAGCATACATGTGGTTTCTGAAAGAAATGAAAACAAAAACAGTGGACTGATATAAAAGCACATGAGGCCATCCTGTTCTACATGTTAAAATGAAATCGTCTAGAGACATAAGATATGGTTAGATTTTATTAGCATGTAATTAGAAGTCAGCGGCTGCAAGTTAAGTCTTAGCTGCGGATCATTTGCTTCGCATTGATTTCGACAGTGGTACTGAAAGCTGACTGTTCAGCAAGCACTGGCAAACTACTGAAAGTAAAATGTGCCTAGAAAAACCACAACAGCAAAACAAAAGCTGGGTTCTGGTTCTGCAATGTCATTTAACTAACTTTAAATGAGGAGAAGCAAACTTTAGAACTTGATGTGATTTGGCAAATGTTATGGGAATTAGATGGAAGAAAGATATAGATTACATTATAGGGAAATAAAGCCTAAAGTTAGACTGGATATCATGTGAGATTATGAACCATGGTCATGTGTGCATACCCTCCCTCCTGGCACAGAATATCATGTATAGATACACTTAAAATAATTTGCAGCCTTTTTTTCTGTTAGCAGAAGATGTAGAAAATATTTTACATAGAATTCTTTTAACTAGGTAAAACCTTAATAAACGAAAAGAAATTAGTTAGGTTTACATTTTAAATTCTTTCTTCTTTTCTGTATTCTTACAAGGGTTGAAAACTTCTCATTGCTTTAATATCTCTTTATTATTTATATTCTTAATTACAAGAATTTCTTTTTTGATTAGAATGATTAGGTTTTCTTCATGGCCAAAACAAACTATGCTCCTTCATTACAGACCACTTGGGCAGTAAACTAGATGACTATGTCTCCAAGTTACCTGTACGTGTACATGTGGTTCGTACGGGGGAGAGAATTGGTTTAATTCGAGCTAGGTTGAAAGGTAAGAGCTTGTTTTATTGTCCTTTCATCATTGTATGTGGTTAACAGTTATCTTGTGTGTGTGTGGGGGGGGGGGGGGGGGGGGGGGTTTAAAGACTTATTTTGTGAGGTAAAGTTAATGTTTGTACAGATCCTTGGGAGCTGTAATTAACGTAATTTTGAAAATATACGCAGTCTTTATGTGTTAAGTTTCCCTTATGTCTATCCCTTATTGTATTCTTTGATATGACCTTAATTACACTCTTGAAACGCTTGAGAAATATAACCAGCCACATTTCAGGGCACAAATATTCTGTGGTACAATCAACTGCCAATTACTGCCTTTATTACCTTTATTATACCACCTTTGTGCTGCAGGCAGGAGGGTCTTTTGAGCCAGAGGATTTACGGCCGCAGGGCTAGTGCTGTCGCCATGACTGTGCAGGTAAGGATTTTATTTTGTCCCCGGACAAAAAAAAATTATCCAGCCTTCAGGGGATTCGAACCTTGGTCTTCTGCTTAAGAGCTCAGTGTTCTAACCATTCGGCCGGTTGCTGCTTGGTAGAAGAAACTCATTTTATAAATGTTGTCCAGTATAAACATTTGGTCAGAATTTTTTTTCCTAAGGTGCTCACATTGCCAAGGGTCAAGTGATCACTTTCCTCGATGCTCACTGTGAATGTACCGAAGGATGGCTAGAACCACTGCTGTCAGAAATCCACAATGACAGGTAATTTGTGCATTTTTAGGTGTAGATATTGATTGAAAATGTATAATAAGGTAGAAAACAGTAAACTTTTGGTTCAGCTTGATGTAATAGTTGTTTGAAGAAAATGTACAGGAACTTTTATCACAGGTTTAGCACATGAGTCATATAATGAATGGTAGATTCATATCTTTCTACACCATTCAGCACTCCATAGGTCATTTGGTCTGTATCATGTCTGCTACTTTGACCTCTCAGAATATTTCCCGATGTCTGTTTCAAGCTGGAAGCCCAGGTCAGTTATAAAACAGTATGCCCTGATGAGGATTTGAACCTAAGGCTTTTGTGTCACTGCACTACTGCCGTAGCTGCTAATTGAAAAAAATGATAATGTGATGTGCAGATGGTTGTTATCCTCTTTCAGATCAGTATTTATATCCATGAAATATCAACACGTCTCAAATATTTTTGCCATATTCCAACAGAACAGCCGTTGTTTGTCCCATCATCGACGTCATAAGTGACGACACATTTGAGTACATCACTGGTTCAGATATGACGTGGGGAGGTTTTAACTGGAAGCTGAATTTCCGCTGGTATCAAGTGCCACAAAGAGAACTAGACAGGCGAGGTGGAGATCGCAGTCTGCCTACAAGGTTTTCTTTTGTTTTTGTTTTCCTGTCTGTTAAACAAATATATGTGAGTGATCTGAGACCTGCTTGTTTATGCCCAGGTATGTTTATGTGTAACCATGGCACGGATACGAACTGTATAACATTTCAAGTGTGCAGGATTATTATATCCATCATGGTGAAGTTCTCTTTCAGTGGACACAATAGAAATGTCCATCCTGGACTTTCTGCAGCCAATGTCTAGTGGGTATGACAAGCTACATTAGGTTTTTTTTAGTTCTGTTTCAAAATTGGGAGGGAGGGACCTGTCTTCCTTGCCCACATGAGCTTGATACTAATCCCACTGGGATTTATTAATTATTATTTCTTGTCTTTTTACCATTTTTGAATAAGCTAAAGCAGCACACAAAGCTGTTTAAAGTTTGCACTTGGACAAATATGACAATGGACAAAATAAAAAAGAATGTTCCTTTTTCAGGTAGCAAAAATGGTATGGTTTGCAGAGGGAATCAGGTGATACACTCTTCTTTAGAAAAATAATGAATTAAAATTTGAAATATACATACAGGCAGACCTAAATTATGCATTAAAGGGATATTGGTCAGCTATGGTTGGTGAATTGTTTTTGCTATCAGAACTATATCGGTGACTTCATGGATGGTTATAAAGGCTTGATTTTCATTTCCCACTCCTGCCTGTTTAAGTTGGTATAATCAGACAGCTAGTACGATAATTCTACATCTTCCATAATATAGAGGTTTGAAATGTGTTTCAGAACGCCAACAATGGCAGGTGGCTTATTTGCCATAGACAGAGAATACTTCTATGAGATGGGATCATATGATGAGGGTATGGACATTTGGGGAGGCGAGAATCTGGAAATGTCATTTAGAGTAAGTATATATGTGCTTTGTTTTGTGAAAAATGAAATGTGTGATAGGTAATGAATATTAATTTTACTAAGCCTTTGAAATGAGATAATTCATGCAATTGGCTGGGTCATCCAGGGAGCCTAGCACGGCCACAGAAATCTGCCTGTATGTAGACTCAGATCCATGACTTTTGGTCTGGCCACTTTGCTACTGAGGCTATAATAGAGAGTGTACTTGAAAGCAGTAAACATAGTTAAGATCAGTGTTTCCCAACCTTTTTTTGTACCAGGCCCCACCTTAGCGTTTCTAAAAATTGTATGCCCCCTTTGTAACTTAAACTCTCAAGTCCATTTTCGAATTGACCCCCTTAAGCATGAAATTACCCCCTGTGGGTGCTCCATGTTGGTTAACACTGGTTTAGATGCTTTATGATCTGTTGACGGATCATTTTAACGGCACTATCTCACATATATTTTTTTTACTTCCTCAGATATGGATGTGCGGAGGAAAAATATATATTGTCACCTGTTCCCGTGTTGGTCATGTTTTCCGAAAAACCTCACCCTATTCATGGCCTGGGGGTGTGGGTCGCATTATAAATCATAACACTCAACGTATTGTGGAAGTGTGGATGGATGATTATAAAGACTTTTTCTACCAAATTAATCCCAGTAAGTGGCCTTATCAGATGCTTTAATTTTCATACATTCAAATGACCTTAGCAGTTGACACCTCCCTGAAATGTACATATTAGAACCCATCTTCAGCAGCCAGCGAAGAGTTCCGATACTAATGGTGTCAGTAGCTTTCTGATTAAACGTCCGTCTTGCCTTTTCTCTGAGCCTTGAGCTTCTGCCAGAACCTCTCGACACCCTCAACTGCATCAATCTCACCAGACTATGGTGATCCATCTGCTCCTCCTTATTGTACACGCTCTCCCACAAGGCACTAACCACGTCTGCCCTATCATGTAGCAGTATTTCACCAAGTTGTGCAGAGCCAGCCAGTCTGTCCGCCTGTTCATTTCCCAACACACCGGCGTGACCCGGTGAAAAAATCCAGACAATACTCATCACTCGTGTCCTCCGCAGCATAGCATGCTACTCTGCACGAAGCATACCTGTTCTGATCTTCCTCAGCATGCTTTCTGAATCAGTTACAATTACAATGTGTGTGTGTGTCATGTTCTCTAGCCAGCGGAAAGCTGCAGTGACCCCCTCCACCTCCATTCTTAAGCTGGATGTTGTGGTATCATATGCTAGGCTCTCCTGCACCAAACATCGACCATTAACTTTTGCTAAAAAGCCCCAAGGACATCTTTTGCCTCTTGACACTGAACCATCTGTGTAAATGATCAAATCCTCTGAGCGAGCATTATCTTGAATTAATTGCTGAATTTCCACCTCTGTGGCACCTGCTGGCCAGTCTCTGCATTCCCGGCTCAGGGTGATTATGACTGTACACAAGTCTGACTGTTCAGGTGGCACTTTGACCCACTCCTCTCCTCGCCTAATGTTCTCAAGGATGCAAACCTGTCTGATTGTGTCTTCTGCCTTAGCCATCCATGACCTCCCTCTTATCAGCCGCTGACCCTTAATTGCACCCAGAGCTTCCCGGCTCAGCGTGATTATGACTCTACACAAGTCTGACTGCTCAGACTTGTTTGAATATTAAGGATTTATTTAAGGATCTGTTTTTGGCATGGCTTTTGTTTTAAACCTCTTCTCTCTCTTTCCCCTTCTCTCTATTTAGGTGCAGCTTATGTAAAATAATGCGTTCAGTGAATAGGTGCTCCCTCTCCCCTTGTCGCTATGTCTCTGTACTTTTTTATCTATCTACTATGCTTTTCTGTCTGTCTCTATCTATGCATGTGCATTCTCCCACCTTCTCCTCTCATTGCTTTCTTCCATCCTCTCTTTTCTCCCTCTTCTACTTTTTTCTGTTTTCTTTAATTCACTTTATCAATAGTTTTTTTCAAAATTACAGTTGCATTATAAGTTAATATAAAGTCGGCATACTTTTTACCTCTTGAGCGTAAAGAGGTACTTAGCTGTGGAATATAATTTGCATAAGTTATGTCGTATGCCATAGTCAACCATTTCAAATGCCAGTTTGGTCCCAACTATCCAAGTGAACAATAATGGCTTGGCTGCTATACCAAATATAATTGGTAATGTAAGTAAAGAACCCTTTAACATGCCTTTAAGCGTATTGAGCCTATTAGGCTAGCCCTATTTTTCTTATAGAACAATTGGCACTCAGTTGATGATATGGTCAACATCATGCCAGCTGCCTTTACTTCCCAGGAATGTACCTTGGAACCAAGTCATTTTTGAAGAACATGAACCCATGATCTTCCAATTCATAGTCAAGTGTCTAGCCGCTACATTACAGCAGCTTGCTAGATCTAATTAATAATGCAAAATTGTAAACATTAATCGTTTGGTTATGAAGGATATTTTCTCCCATCGCAGTTAAGATAAATGTGGACATTCTGCAATAGTAATATTTCAAAGGACATGCTAGATTTGAGTGAGCATCTCTCATATGCGATCATTATTATTATTACTGTTCTAATCTCCCATTTCTCTTGGATGATACCAGTGAACACCAAAATCCATACCCCCACAAGGATCCTCTTGTGAGGAGGATGTCAATGAAAATGGTGTGTGCCGTAATATTGTTTTCTCATTTCTTCAATTTATCCAGGGTAGTGACCCATTTAGCTCAGTCTTCATGGTTCCCAACTGCCAGTTTTTTAATTTCTTTTTAAAATTTGTGTAGAGGGATAAATATAATAGTATGACGGTGTTACTTTGATTATTGGCTTAAAGTAGACACATATAGACATCTTTGAGCTGACACTGAAAACACTACGAACATTGTACCATTAAAAAAAACTGACCAATCATTGAATGTAAAAGTGCCATAAAAACCACACATTCTCATAATGATGTGAGCATCAAACCAGATTACCAAATGTAGAAATGGTTAAGTCCTGTAAAGTTTACACAAGTAACACATTTATACACCTACAGTTAGTTTTTCATGTACTTTGTACTTCTTGACTTACAAGTATATACCACACCTGTAAGACACCACATTCTGTGCATAACATTGAGATGACGTCTGAATCCCAAGCGCAAATTTTTTATCATTTATAGGATAACATGTTCTAGTATAATGTGTTTTTTAAACATGTTAAAAAGAAGGAACAGACCTGAGAATATGAGAAAATAGGAAGTGGTAGACAGAAAGATAAATACCTGGATGGCTTAGCCATATGGGTGGGGCAGTACAAGAACACTGACCTGATTCATGATTCTTGTGATCAAATTAGATAGTGACACATGACAGCTTACACTTTTCGGCATGGCACATGATGATGATGATGATTACCTTTGGTGAGTTTGTGATGTTTAAATAATATACAGTGAACATTCCTTCTGTTTTTATTTCAGATGTAAGAGCTACAGAATATGGAGATGTTACTGAGAGGAAGAAACTTCGTCAGAAATTGAATTGCAAAAGTTTTAGATGGTATCTAGAACATGTTTATCCTGAATCACAGCTACCAATAGATTATCATTCTTTGGGAGAAGTAAGTGATCTTCTAGGATGATCTTGTTTGTCTTATTTAAAACTTTCTGCAGCAATAATCATTCTTTAATTAGTGTTATTATTTTCACAAGATTCTCTGAAAACACACACGAAGCTTTTGACAGAAAGCTATAAATAAAATGGAAACACATTGTTAACATAGGTGAATTGCACTGTTGGAATCACATAAAGAAAAGAGAGGTGAGTTACTAAATATGTTCTCTGAAATATATTCTAAAATAATTGTTCTAAAATAACCATTCTTTTATAGGCGTGTCAGCCATTTGTGTTAATCTTCTAGTTTTGATTCTTTGTTTTAGATAATATGGTAAGTTAGTTTATATATGCTAAGGCTTATTTTAAAACACAAATTATGCAGTGTCATTCCGTGATCTATTTTGCACCGAGACCTGTTGATACAGTTAAAAACTCACTACTTGTTGAGACATTTTCATTCACTCTTTTTTTTTCTCGTCATCTTCTTTTCCTTTCCACATAATTTCCAGTCTGAGGCCTGGTTTTGTACCAGGTCGTTCCACCTTCTAAGATCGTCCAGGAAAATAATGGGCTGAAACAATCGTCGATGAAGGACATTTCTTTTGATCATCGGTGGAGCCCTGATGTGCATGATTTCCCCGTGGAGTTCTTATTATTCAATTCCTCTTTCTTCTTTCCATTTTGTCAAACTTTTTAGTGGAAGCCCCTCTGTCCTCCCATAATTCCGTCTTTGCCATCAGATTAGACTTTTCTTCACCGGTGTAAAATAACACCACGTCCCCACATTACAGTGTATTCCTCTTCCCCCAACCCATTTTTTTTTTGGGGGGGGGGGGGGGTTCAATTCTCAATGGGTGAATATATATACTTTTTTTCTGGACTTCATCCTGTCAGCATTTGGAGTGGCTGACAAATTTATTTCCTTCTTTTACCTACTTAATTTTGTTTCACATAATATGATAATATCATAATGCTATATTATGTTACGTCATTATCTCTCTCTTTTTTTGGGCTGTGTTATTGATGTTTTGTTTCTTATTGTTGGTGAAGGTCTGTAATCTCAGTATCTGTTGTTTATCATAATTGCAATTATGTTTCTTAAAATTTTTTTTTAAATGTTTTTTGGGTTTAAATTGACCTGTATATTGTTTTCCGGTTGGTGACATTCCTAGCTTAATAACAGTTCAGTTGTTTCATTTATTTATGCACGTGACATTGGTAGGACTGGATTGTATTTCCCCTTTCAGTAAATATTTTTGTCTGTGTAATGTTTTAAATGGATTTAAAGTCAGCATAATTATACTTTGCTTTACTAACTTGTACATATAAGTGAGGAAATTTGAGTAGTGTTGCCTTTATTCCTGTTTTTAATATGTGTTAATTGAACAGGACTTGAATTCAAGTGTTTGTCAACTGTGGATAATTTAGCTGATGTCTATCACGTTTATCTGTTGTTAGCTCTAGATTATCTGTTGTCTACAGGTTTAATAGAATTCAGACTTGTCCAAGCTGTAACCAGACATATTTTACTGTGTTAAGTCTGTATTTGTCTAGAATTCCAGCAGTGGCATCTGTCCGTCTGGTTTTCTTGGTTTACCTTTGTCTCTATAACAAACTAGTATTCTGTTTGGATCATGCTTCAGAGTAGCTGCTTGGGCTTCATCATGTCTGAACCACTGTATTATCTGTCTGTGAGCTGTCTGTAGATTCTAAATTTTTTGTCCTGGTGTCTTCTTTAGGCTTCTGTAGTCTGAAGTCATTAGAGCCTTTTCCTAAACTGTTTCTGATCACCCGCATGTGTATTGTTTTTAATATTCTGTGGTGCTTTGTGGATACTTTATAGATTTTTTTCCTCTATTAAAACAAAAAGTTACTGATAAATATCCTGAAGCCAGAAAGTAAATCTGGTTGATTTTCTGCATATCATTAAAAATACAGATATTTTTTCTTGGGGAAAAGGGGGGGGGGGGGGGGGGGGTATTTCAAAGGAATTTGTGTGTGCATAACTAAAGTAGATATTGTGTTTTATATCAGTGTATGTAAATATTTTGCTGTAATTTATGAGGTTATCACTTCCAGTATGCTTCCTGAATAAAGGGAAGCCTGCTGCTTATATTAAATGTGTGAACCTAACACATCAGCAACAGTTCACTAATAATGAAACTCTTGTTTTTCTGTGAGAATTGGATACTGGTATAATTTGTAGAAATTTTACAGTTTCAAAAGATTCTTTGAGACATTATGCCTAATCCTATTGTTTTGAATAACTTTGTTGTTTTTATTTTAATCTTTACACTTTAATTTTCTCTGTGCAGATACGTAACAAAGCGACTGGTTTATGTTTAGACACAATGGGTCGTAAAAATGGAGAGAATGTTGGATTGGAAAGATGTCATGGTCAAGGTGGAAATCAGGTAGGGGGATATTTCAGTCTGGTTTTTAAGATAAATGAGTGTTTCATGATTCTTTATTTGCTTCTTAGCCTATGCTGTTCTGTCCTGTGGTGGCAGTTCCCTTCAGACTGTCTTGATAGTTATTTCCTCAAACACATTCAGACTGTGGTGTTTAGTGTTAGGGACTAATGCTGCACCAGTCAGTCTTGGTTGATTGCAAGGTCTTGATCTCAGATCTTTTTTGGTAAGAAGCCTGTCTTAGCAGCTGATTTTCTCTCATGCTACAGACATGGCCATTTCATCTAGAGCTTGTTGCACTTATGTTTGCACAGCCTAATATCTAATCTTTGGCATAATGTGTATTACAATAATTGTGAATATTACAGAATGATTAAATAATGAAGTCATAATTTAGATCACAGAAATGTCCTCGGGACAAACTGAGCCCACCACAAGGCAAGCTTGCCATAGTATCCTACGACTATCCAAAAAATGTAAAATGCAAATTCATTTGTTGACATTTAATTAAGTACTTTAATGCTGACATACATCAGGGTCCAGCTAATCAATTGTTTTTGTTTTTCTATATTTTCTTATATTTCCTCAGTTTCTAGAAGTCATTGTGTGTCTAGTTTGAATCAGTGTATTATCTTATCAGTTTTTCTTCTCACTCAGTATTGTGGCTCTTGACTGTTTTTGTGATTGCTATTGACAGTTAATACAAAGAGAACATCTTATACTGTGCTACTCTGTGACAGTTAACACAAAGAGAACATCATATAACTGTGCTACGCTGTCACAGTTAATACAAAGAGAACATCATATACTGTGATACTCACTGGCAGTTAACACAAAGAGAACATCATATACTGTGCTACTCACTGGCAGTTAACACAAAAGAGAACATCATATACTGTGCTACTCTGTGACAGTTAACACAAAGAGAACATCATATACTGTGCTACTCTGTGACAGTTAACACAAAGAGAACATCATATACTGTGCTACTCACTGGCAGTTAACACAAAGAGAACATCATATACTGTGCTACTCTGTGACAGTTAACACAAAGAGAACATCATATACTGTGCTACTCTGTGACAGTTAACACAAAGAGAACATCATATACTGTGCTACTCTGTGACAGTTAACACAAAGAGAACATCATATACTGTGCTACTCACTGGTAGTTAACACAAAGAGAACATCATATACTGTGCTACTCACTGGCAGTTAACACAAAGAGAACATCATATACTGTGCTACTCACTGGCAGTTAACACAAAAGAGGACATCATATAATGTGCTACTCTGTGACAGCTAACACAAAGAGAACATCATATACTGTGCTACAAGTATGTGAAAATTTATGGAAATAGTCAAATATTGTAAGATAAGAAGACAGGCACGTAACCTGGATACGGTGATACTGGAAAAAACCAACACATGGCAAACAGAACTAGTAGCAGCCATACAGTTAACAGTGAAGATAGTTTGCACAGAACAGTAGCATTTGGTAACAACTTTCTGAACAGCAAATCATCATGTGCCTTACTGGTTGGCATGGGTGATCTTGTCTTTCCACAAATTATCAGTTGCTATATTGCCATGACAACAACCTGTCAAGAATATTTTCTCACTGTCTTCTTTTATCTCTCTCTCCATACATTTTTCCAGTTGCCACATTTTCCAGTTATTCTCCTCTATTAATGTAGCTTAGGAATGATGATTGCCTCTTTCTGATGTTTGTGAGAAGCTGTCTTCCGCTTTCAAAACATTTGGATTACTCAGTTTAGGAGTTCAGCGAATTTTAAGCATTCTTCTATAACATTATATTTATATTTTTTAGTCCTCGAGAAATTGTTTGATTTGTGCACTAATTGTCCAGGATTTACAACTATATATTTGAACAAGTTCCAGAGAATTATTTTTCTAACTGTCACCGATAGCAAATGTTAGTGTAATTACTAGATGACATAAGAATTCGAATCTTGTTCACAATTTAAATGTTTAAATATTGCAGTTCATTTTTGTTCTTGTAATATTTATTATTTACATGTTCATGGTAAGGAGGTCTGTTTTACTTATAACACTGCATTTTCCATGCAGGTGTTTTCATTAACATCCAAGGAAACCTTACAGACAGATGATCTCTGTTTAGATGTGTCCATTATTAGCGGGCCTGTCAAACTGATACAGTGTCACAGCATGGGGGGTAATCAAAGATGGCAGTATGATGTCGAGGTAGTCATCCTCGTCATATTGCTTCAGAGCTGTAGCCTGCCTGCGTTGTGGCTGACTTCATTGTAAAAATTGTTGTGCCCTATTAGCAGCTTGAAGTAGTAATTGCTTGCTGAGTTTGTTTTTTCACAAATCTGCATGAACTACTAGTAATATCAGTTTCATTTGCATTTTTATAATAAATTAATTATGTGTGTGCCAAAGTATAATAAAGTTTGAAATTAGAGCACATTTACAGCCCCTGACAGTCATAGTCTATTGAAGTCATTTGACAATCAGTTAAATTATATTACAATATCAACATTGAAAATAATGGGCAAACATTTCCTAGATTCTCATTGTTTTGGTTACATTGTTATATTGTAATATGTTTTGTTTCCTGGAAAAAGGAAATTATGTTAAATTGTGCACACTGTTATTGGTTTCAAACTCAGTATCTCTTTCTTAATGATCCATGGTTATGTCATGTTTGTTGTTTTCCTATCCCAGTGATGAGATTTACACTTTGTTACATGGTATCTGTTTTATTGTGTAGTTAAGCACTGTTTATGAGCTGTGTCTGCATGTTAGTTAGTTAGTTAGTTGGGATATGATCATTGCACTCCGGACATGTCCTTAGGTGCTCAGATCCTTCACTCAGTATGAACCCCAGTCTTTTTGTATGCCCGATGTGTCTCTCGCTTTTGGCTATGCGGAATTCAGCTCCCGAGTTGTGTCTGCATGTTTCCCAGCTGTACTGCATGTGTTGAGCTTTTTAGACACTGTTCACTGGATTAATTTCTTGATATTTAGTTTATGTCCCATCTGTCCCAGATTGGTGTTTATTATGTGGATTTTTCAGTCATGTGTCTGCTTTTTGCATGGAAAATTGCTTCACTTAAAACAGTGTGTTGGTTTGGATTTTAATGAAAATTACAATATGTTATTATTGTCATTATTATTCAGGTGTTTTGCCTCACCAAAAAGAAACAGCTGATGACAGATGATGATATGTGCATAAGTGTAGAAAACAACAGTGTCAAGTTTAATAAATGTGGTACAGGAAACTCAGACTGGGAGTATGACAAAGAGGTGCAAGAACTTTCTACATCTGTGTGTGCAACAATTGAATATTACCTGAACTCAAGCATATTTTATTCTGTCTCTCCTTTTATATATATGTCTCTCTCTCTATCTCTCTCTCTCTTTTCTCTCTCACATGTTCACGCACACACACTAAACTTACATTTCCTATCAAGACAAAATAATATAGCTTAGATGTCTTCCATTTTGAAATGTCTTCCATTCTGAAATTATATATATATATATAATAGTCATCATATATATATAGTATCTGTGTTTATATATATATATATATATATATATATATATATATATTTATATTTATATTTATATTTATATATATATATATATATATATATATATATATATATATATATATATATATATATATATATATATATATATATATATATATATATATATATATATATATATATATATATATATATATGTGTGTGTGTGTGTGTGTATATATTGTGTCAGATACTGAATGTTAATGACAGCTAAAATATATAACTCCATTCTAGGTAACTGATTTCCCCCCCCCCCTTTTTTTTTTTTTTAAGACCAACAAGTATTTAATCTGTGATGTATACAGCATCTGTTAGCTAGACTGCATCTGTCCTATACTCTGATATTATTGCCCATTAGTGTTGCATTGGCAGTTATTGCAGATATTCTCAAAGTGCTGCAAGCAAGGCCATACTCCAGAGTTATTTATCTTATTTCTTTATTAGCATCTTTCCGCCTTTCCAGATGATAGTGTTAAATTATGCTGTAAGGATGCATGGGACTTACAGCCCATGGAGATGGCGAGTGTGACTAGCAAGACCCGCCCCCGTTAAAAAAAGTCTTGAACAATTATAGCATGGGATTTCAGGACCATTGCTGTCAACATTTGGATTTAGCATCTTTTTTTCCTGATGCTCAGCTGTCATCCTTTCTGTAATAATTTCTTCCTTCATTCTAATTTCCTTCCTGATGTGCCACCTCCACATAACACGGTCCATGGCATTTTATTCCCATGATTCTACCTCATTACCTGTATCATTCTTATCCTGTTTGTACACATCTTTATGTCGTAGTAGAGGTCAGCCTCGACATCTTCAACCCGTTTTTAATCCCTCTTTCATTCTCCAGGTGTGACCCAGCCACCTGAGCCTTCATAGACTGAGCATTGAGAAGAACTGTTGTAATACCTACTCTCCAATACATCAGTGTTTGTGATCTTGTCCTGCCACTTAATGCCAAGTATTCTTGGGCATCACATGTGAAAGCTATTAGCGTTCCTCCTGGTGCGAATAAGTTGACTAGGTTTCTGTGCCATAAAGCAGAGTGCTGAGAACACCAGCCTGATAGACAAGAGTTTTTGTTTTAATCATGAGCTTTCTGTTCTCCCAACTCTTTTTGGTAATCTGCTCATTGTTGTTGCTGCCTGACCTGTCCTGATGTTGATTTCTTGGTCCAGCGATAGTTTTTTATTCCTGGTAGATCCCAGGTAGGTAAAATGGTCAACTGTCTCCAGCTCTTCACCATCAGTGTAGAATGTAGGTATATCAGTAACACCTTGCACCATAACCTTTGTCTTCTTTTAGCTGATTGTTTGTCTAAATTCACAGCGTGTATCAACAAATGCAGATAATAAACATTGTAGCTCCTCCTCTGAGTGGGTGGTTATTGCTACATCATCTGCAAATAGCAGCTTTCTGATCTGGCCTGACACTCAGTTGCACACACATGTTGTGATTCACAAAACTTGCTGATAAAGGTAGAGGCAGGCTTGCTCCGTACAAAGGGGCAAGTATCAATTCAGAAATTTTGAGTAGTTAGCATCCTTTGGATCTTTTCTGTGGGGATGCCGGTGTAGTTGGAAATGACCAGGTAGACAGGTTGGCTGATTCTACACCACTTAGCAGGCTAGATTTGGTCAAGGTCCTTCAGACACAAATGATTAGTGCAGAAGAGCAAACAGATCAGTATGGTCTGGAGAGAAAATTGCAATGGAGAGCCACAAGGGATCTGGCTAACTTAGCACTTAGAGAAAGGGACATATAATTTAGACTGCTACTAGTAACATCAACTATCGAACTATTGCCCTGATAAGTCATGCAAGTAAAATTCTACTAAAAATTATAATGAGAAGACTGCAAAAGAAAATGGAAGAAGAGATTAATGTAGCTCAGGCTGGATTTAGAGAGAGGAACAAGAGATCATATATTTAACATGCGTTTGAATAGTAGAGAAGTGTAGAGAATTTAATTGGAAGCTTTGGGAAATTTCTTTCCATCACATATAGTGCAGGCTGCCGGTGGCAGCAGTCAGAATAGATGGAGAGACTCAGACTGGTTTGGCATCAAGCAAGGGAGTCCGTCAGGGATGTGTGCTGTCACCGTATTTGTTCAACCTGTACGCCGAAAATAGGAGAAATGTAAGAGATGATATAACCAAGGAACAATATGATGCCCTAAACATCGATTCAACATCACAAAATGGTTTAGAAAACAAGTGAAAATCATAACTTATTTCTTAGACACAAAAACAAAACTGGATTAAGTGCAGATTTTCGAATATCTTGAGCAAACAGAAAGAAATCGGCGACTATGGACTAAAACAACTGAATAAATTATGGAATTGTACAGATAGAGAGATTTTTAAGAGCATGCATCTTTCCCAAACATACGGAGACCTGGACACTTACTAAGCGGAACAGCGCATCTGGTTACAGACAGGTTCTAAGGCTATCCATACTTCAGAGCTGACTTGAGTATTTTGGTCACTTGGAAACGTCATGGAAACTTGGAGAGAGAACAATAATGGAGGGTATATGCAAGAGATAGGAAGGCCAAGGAGAAGATGGGTGCAGGATGTGGCAGATGATCTCCAGTGGGTGTATCAGACGCAGGACATGCTCATGATAGGAAGGTTTTTCTAGGTTGTTATGGCAGCGAGGTTCCGCGAGGGACATGCTACCAATGAAGTAACATCTGAACCAGAACTCAGCTCTGGCTGTTAAAGATGGAATAGTGCACTCATAGGAATGTCCCAAGTGCTATGATGTGGGTTCTTAACTTGGTAGCTTTGCTCTCTAGACCATTTTCAGGTACCCCTTTTTTCAGGGTTAGTTGACCTGGGAACCTATGTCTGTGGGGAAAAAAAGAAACTTCTTTGAAAAGGATTATAACATCTGAACTGTTGAACCCATAGGCAAGCACGCTAGTCACTGTAGTTATCTTGCATGGTAAACTTTTGTTCTCCTACCCAAGATATGTAGAAATGTTAAATTTGAGTGTTTATTCTGTAGATTTTTTTTTTTCAAGCAAGACCCATAATAGTTTCAGACACTGTGTGTAATGTAAAACCACTTTGAGAATGTAATCCTTTCACATAACACATACACCTGACTTTAACCAGTATATCAAAAGCAGGCTATAGGTTTCAGACATTTAATTTAACTTTGCACTTTGTTCTTGTCTTATCTGCTTCATTTAAAGGTGTATTCTATCTAGCCATGTTTTTTTTAAAACAAGGCTTATAAGTATAGAGAGAAAAGACAGCTTATTCATTTTCACAGAAATGCTGGAAACAGTTACATTTGGAGTGGGGAAGGGGGGGGGGCATGCTGTAATACATGTTAATGGATAAAAAATAAATTTGAAATAGATGTTTGAGAGATAACTGAGGAATGATGAGACCTCATCAGAATGTTTTTGAAGCATTTTAAAATGGCAGGAATATTTAGCTAAAGCTGTTAGTTGGTGAGTTGTTAAAGAATTTAATTGTTCAGACACTTTTGCTCAAGATAAGAAGAGAGAAAAACCATCACATTGGAGTAGTAACAGAGCACACAATCTGGCCCAATATTCAGAATGATCACACTAAACATCTGTGGTTTAGGACCAAAAGGAAACTGCATTTAACTCCTCTAGAACAAAAGAAGATAA